GTCACAAAGCCTCAACCCTTAGCTGAGGCATACATGAACATGTCGAGCAAAGGGGGTGAATAGTGTTACGGCACCAAACCCTAGAATGCCTGAAGAAGCTGCCGAACCAACAGCCAACGAACAGCAGGCAGGGCCCAAACCCTACAGTCTCGATGATGATGAAAGGAGCTGAACCAAATGAACCAGCATAATACCTGGGGCCAAACCCTGCCCAGGAAAAATACTATGCAGGCAAAGTTCTGGCTTTTATACAAACACTCAAAATACCAATGAGCCTCCCAGGGACTAAGTAACACCAGACAGTGACGCCACTGCAGGCAGAGCAAAACTGCAGGAGGCAGGGAAAGAGATGCCAACCAAGAGTCCCAAATGAAGCCCAACCTGGTCCAACCCTAGGATGAAATCGGCTGGGATTTCCTCCAGTTTACTAGTAACCAAAGAAAGAACCTGATCCCTCTAGTTGACACACAGACTGACTGCAGGCCCAAACTAGTCAGTCATTGAGATAAACCAGAACCCGAACCTTCAATAGATGTAGCCAAGTCACGACTACCAGCGCTAACCTGGTAAAGATCTGTGGCCAGATTCACGAAGCAGTTACACAAGCACTTATGAACCTGTACATCTTTCCTCCAGTCCTGCTTGAGGGCTGGAAACAGCTGGGACACCCACCAAAGGGAAGTCATTTTGACCATGCCCAAGTCCAGCCACTTTGCTATGATTGCATGGAGCTATGGAGAGCACACTTGACACAAAACCCCAGATCCTAAGTAAAGAAAGGGAAGGAGAGTAGACCAACTCCACCAGAGACCTAGGGAAAGAACCTGGAAAGCCCACAGATCGTAGGACTAGGAACTAGCAAAAAGGGTCAGATATCCTCTATAGCCCCTTCAAATGGGTGAGCTGTGAAAGGGTTGGCTCAAAGACAAACAAGCAGAGTCATCCCTTCCTTACATTACATACATTCCTGTAAAGCCACTAGCACACATAGTGGTTCGAGCAGTTCCTTAATCCTAATTTTCACCGAAATACGACCTGCCAAATCATTTAACAACCAGATACCCATTCACTGCTTGGCAAACAGGCTACAGTTAAGGAGTGGCGCCCAGTTAATCCTTCCTGGCCAGGGTACGAACCCAGGCCAAAGCGCTTGCAAAGTGCCGGGCTTCGTGAGAGCTTTGAGGCCTGGTAAAACCATGGCATAGTTTTACCACTGCGCCATGAGAGACTTCCTTGAGTAATTGCAGGGTCGAGCCGAGTTTCAACCCAATCAGTTGAAAGAAGCACATGAGGCCAGGAATCCAACTCCACCAGAAGCTAAGTGAATATAACACCCAGTTCACTCAACAGTGTAGCTTGAAAATGTGCTCACAAAGCAAAGTATCAAATACTAGGAATTATATGCTAGCAAGGCTCCCATAGGATGAAGTCCTAATGATAACCAGCACCCATAGAAGAAGCAGAACTGGATGACTGGCAAACTAGGGAAGAAGAAAAAATAAATCTCTCTTACTCATCAGCAACAAGACTGAACGCAGGTGCTGGGATGACGGCTTTGCCGACAGTTAGTGGCTCAGCGCATGTGCACTGGGGGTAGTTGTTTCATGCCCAGTTCTGTATAACTCTTGTAATTTTGAGTGATTCTTTTACAGTGTCCTTCAGCTGTTTTAATGCTTAGTTTTCAAGAACCAAGCAGTTGTTTTGTATCATTTTCATACCCGTTTGGGTGCTTTCTTGGCGAGTGTGATCGTAACAATTCCCTGCTCCTATGCCTCTCTGAGGGGGGGCCAGATTTTGGCTCTTGTTTCTGGAATGCCAATAAAACTCCTATGACTGATATGGCTAAGTATTGGGAGCTATACTGACAACAAAGCTACCAAAGAACTCTCACAGAAAAAGAGCAAGATTAGCAAAAGTAAGAAAAATTAAAATTTAATGGAAATTAAGCTACATGAACCATTGGCTTGAATTTCACTAAATACCTCTCCAGAATCAGAATTTTGCTCTCAAGAAAATGGAGTTTCAGAGGAAAACCTGGTGGATGGATTTGAATTGTTACTTAAAAGGATCCATTATATGGGGATGAGGGATTTTGGAGGTTGCAGTGTACATGTCAATGTGCAAGAATTGAAAATTAATGGAATTGATTCAGGGCAGTGTATTAAGAGAAAATAAAAGTGTGATACAATGTTGATGTGATAATTCATGTGAAGAAATTCTACTTCTTAGCTAGCAAAAAAGATTGGCAATGTGTTTTTGACAATCAATTAGAATTAATTTCACACCTAGTCCACAGGGAATGAAACAATGTCATGTTCTTATAATAATTCACATGGAGTACAGTACTCCTATGTGTAGTCTACAGACCTTTTGTACTTATATCATGCAGCAATGATAATGGTTTGTTCATCCGAGCTATCAGACGCAACAGACTGCCTCCTCTTTAAATCAAGTGTAGATCAAGTTATCACAAGACATGCTTTACTCCAGGCCAGCCTTGGGGGGAATAGAAGAACTTCCAGAACCAATTCCAAGTAAACTCCTGGTATATTTTGTGAATTTTAAGCTATGAAAGACGTTCTAACATTGAAAATGGCAATTATGTCCCATCAGAACAATTACTGGTGAGCATTTTCATTGTGACTACGAAGATACTTTTATATAAAATACGAGATGTAATGCCTCTTTGTGTTGGATGGATGTTGTTAGCCTATTAGCCCACAATATAAAAATAAATATTCTACCATGAAATGTGCCTATGCAAACTTGTAATAAACATTATGTCCTCTTCTGATAACTGTAGACCCATAGCTCTAAATGCAGTAATAAGGACTGCATTGAACTACATGCTGATTTTCTAGTTGTCAAACTACATACCTCTCACTTTTAATCTGCATACAAATAAAGTGATGTTTAAACATTCAGTTCTGTATTTATTTGCAGGTTGTTAAAATATATATTAACAAAAGTTCAAGTGTGTTCCATTTTTCAGCAAAATACTGTACATATATGCACAGAAATGAGTTTTGTAAACATAACATTGCAATAAACATTTTTTTTACTGAAACATAGCCAACAAACACTGCCCAATATATATGCTATGGTAGTATATGTAGAACAGTTTTATGTATAAATATATGCTCTCCGAATATTATTCAATATTTTTTGTATTTATATTACATGCATTACATGCATTCATAAAGGCACACTAATATACATTTTTGAGTTAGGAATCATCAGCCCAATGATCGTCACCCGAAGTACATGAACAAATTTCACACGATATCAATAAAGTAATATTCTTTATTATTCACCCCGAGATACAGCAACACGTCCAATAGTTGTTCAGATTTGAAACAATTTTCATCATCAATATGATAACCATTGCTATACCTTATCATCCACAACTAATACTATAATGTATACCATACAGAGACAGCCACCTGTACCTCTCTCAGAAGGACATTTATGTAAAACATTTGACAAAGAAAATGTCATATGCGAAGGGATCTAAATGAAATGAAAAACTGACTTTGATGACCAAACCCCACATCAGAAGATGGAGAAACAACAACATTTTGGTCCATCCTGGACCATAATCAAGTCGTGTGTGGATACACGACGCTCACACCACTTGATAATGGTCCGGGACGAACCAAAACGTCTTCGTTTTTCCATCTTCTGATGAGTGATTTGGTCATCATATCTTTGGCCATATTACTGTGCCTCATCGTCTGCTAAAACTGACTTTGTTCTTGCGAACCTTGTGTGGAAAACTGCTACACCTAGTCTATAAAACTCCACTATGGGCTGTCTAAGGCAGATAATAACGAACTAATGCAGAACTCTACCATCCACCATACCAAATTATTATAAATGTTTACGAATCATATAAGAGTGCAAAATTATAAATGTCGTTTAAGTTAGTATGATGTAACCAAGATGGCAAGCAAGTCACCTCCCACATTTCTCAAACCAATATTATTCTGGAAGCAAATTATGTCAGTTTATATAAGATAAAAACTAGATCTACCACATCATTTACCACAGTCAATAAAGGCATGATCAGCTTATAGCATATACTCTATATATATTCACTACTGCTACTTCAACATGCAAATACTCTATGCTAGAACTAATGAAAAATTCTATATTAAAATTAATTACTATGACATGACAGAGCAATCAATTTATGAACTATATTACAATCTACTACTATACTCTATAACATATATTCCAGCAATGTGTAAATATTTCATTCAAAATGATCTACCAAAAATGTTAGCAAAACATCCCCAGTTTGTTAACTGTAGGTAGTAAATTCAAGTGGATAGGTATGGGGTCCACAACCACCCACAGGATGGGTATGGGGTCCACTATCACCCACATGATGGGTATGGGGTCCACTACCACCCACATGATGGGTATGGGGTCCTTTACCACCCACATGATGGGTATGGGGTCCTTTACCACCCACATGATGGGTATGGGGTCCACTATCACCCACATGATGGGTATGGGGTCCACTACCAGCCATAGGATGGGTATGGGGGGTCCCCTACCACCCACATGACGGGTTATGGGGTCCACTATCACCCACATGATGGGTATGGGGTCCTTTACCACCCACATGATGGGTATGGGGTCCACTATTACCCACATGATGGGTATGGGGTCCTTTACCACCCACATGATGGGTTATGGGGTCCTTTACCACCCACATGATGTGTATGGGGTCCACTACTGCCCACATGATGGGTATGGGGTCCACTACCACCCACATGATGGGTATGGGGTCCACTACCAGCCATAGGATGGGTATGGGGGGGTCCCCTACCAGCCACATGATGGGTTATGGGGTCCTTTACCACCCACATGATATGTATGGGGTCCACTACTGCCCACATGATGGGTATGAGGTGCATAATAATTTAACTAAACTAAGCTACTATAGATTGTATTAAAAAATGAACCAAGAGTGATATAAATTAACAACTAACCTGGAGTAATCCCCATTGCATGAACACCATACATATGGAAATCATGAACAGAATATGATGAAGGAATTGTAGGAAGGGGCTTGGAGCCAATACCACCAAGTCCTCCCAATATGATGGGACCACCTGACTTTACATGACGCCTCATCTGGAAACACGCCCTGTAAAACATTTTTGACTATCACTTTGTTATAATGAAAACCCGAAATAATAAATATAGCTAAATGGAGTCAAAAAATTTATATTATTTTAAATCGTACAGAGTATTGTGGGGAAAAAAAAAAAGCATGCTTGCACATATAGGGGTTTTGTGAGAGTGATGAACATGAATCAGAACATGAATCTTCTCAATATTTCTTATGTTTTTCTTCACTGTCAAGAGAAATTGAAAGATTAACTCTCCAAAGTTCATTTTCACACACATTGTGGTCTGATGCCTAGGGATGCATTTCACAAGGCACTCCTTATATTTTCAAAGACAAATTTACCATTCATTTACAAAGGTTTATATTGTCTTGCGGTGAAGTGGTACAGGACGTGATTGTGAGGAACAAGTGGATGAAACATAATGGATTAATGATATGACAATTCAACAAAGTGACATGATACATCATGAACATGTCACTACACACCAATGTAGTGACATGTCATTATGATGTATCAATGACATGACAATACACCAAAGTGACATTATGATGCATCACGGACATGTCACCATCATGCACAAATACACACACGAGTGACTTGCATGTGGCACACCTCTTCACTCTATATGATGTCTTCATCAAGATGATGATTTTATGATGCTGTACAATGTTGGCAGAAGAAAAATATGGACAAATAGACAAATACAGTCCATCCATTAGTCTATCTGCCAAATCAAAAGCACGATGACCTTAAAATGTTTAATCTGATAGCAAAAATTAAATCAACCACCAAAGAAATTTCAGCCATACAGTATTTCAAATTACCAAAGAGACGTTACATTCTAACAGAGCATGTATAAAAGCCATAACAAGGGGGGCACAAATTATCACTTAGCTCTTCAAAACTGTCGGCAAAGTAATATTCATTTTTGGACGTGTTGCCTTTTTGAAATACACTACAAAATTTCATTCTCCGAATTCTATGAGAAAAACTGTGCTTAGTGTAACTCGTATGTCAGGCTGCGTGCAGCCTCATCAAACAGCTTGGAGGATCAGACCAGCAACCAGGAGGTCTGGTCAGAGACTGGGCTGAGAGGACATTGATCTAAGAATCTTCAACAGGTAGGTAGACAGGTACTAACAACAACATGATGTAAAAAGTGAGACTGCATTTGATTCAGACACTGTTGCATCGCATTGCTTCAGTGTACTATTGTTGATCTTATTCAAGCTGATGTCACTTTCTTGTGAGGCTGATCTTACAGGCAGAAACTTGGTGTGAGGCTGCTTTTACAGGCACAGACTTTGGTGTGTAGCTGATCTTACAGGCAGAAACTTGGTGTGAGGCTGCTTTTACAGGCACAGACTTTGGTGTGTAGCTGATCTGATAGGCAGAAACTTGGTGTGAAGCTGATCTTACAGGCACAGACTTTGGTGTGTAGCTGATCTTATAGGCAGAAACTTGGTGTGAAGCTGATCTTACAGGCACAGACTTTGGTGTGTGGCTAATCTTACAGGCAGAAACTTTGGTATGTGGCTGATCTCACAGGCAGAAATTATAGACACAGTATCAGCCAAAGCATGCAAACGAGAAATTTTTTTAACATAGCTACATCAAAGATTTCCGTTCAAATTTACTATACTGCCATATATAAATGTCTAGTACACAACAAAATGTAATCATTACAAATAATAACTATATGCAAGCATGAATAAATACTGAGGCTGAACAAAAGAATGGAACCCATGGAACCCTTTCCCCCTTGTAATACGTACTTCATGTGCTTCAATCTCTGCATAAATCGATGTTTGTGTCGGTGGGTGCGGAAACGAGGGTTCTGGGCTGCTGCTGGGTCCAGATGCAGGAGAGACACCAAGTCATCATCAGGCAAGACGGTCTCAACCCACACACGACTGATGTTATCGCGGCATGAGGTCACCAGCATGTTACTTACACTCCCTCTGTTCAAAGGATGTACAAATTTTAATACAAAATTATACATGTACATTGTAAAAGCATGAAGAATTTGGTTTTTCGAATAGATGAATATTTCATTACTGAAAAAGCTATACAGTGAGAAAAACAATTTATTAAATCAATTATAACAACTGAATAACATTCACAACATGTATAATACAGAGCAACTGTTTCCTTAGTTTACTTGGCTCCTCATCTATTAATATTTTGGTTGCCATAGTACTCTTTTCATGATGCCCCTTTTCTCAGTCATATCCTTCAGATCCTACCATAGAAATGTTTGTCACGCCCTTGAACAAGATTAAAGTAGTGGTGCAAGACAGCATACATCCACCACAGAATAACCAAGAAAAGTTAACACTTTCACGCTCTCTGCAAACAAAAAAAAACTTGCCCCATGTGCGTGCGGTGTTTCGGGCGATTGAGCGTCAACACTGAAAAGTGTATACTCTTTTCACTGTCCTGACCTTAATTTTCGATGTACGTATTTCATTTTTGAAGCAATGTGTTCGCAATAGAATGTTCTAGAAGAACATAAGTATAAAATGTCACCAAAGCATGAGTTAGACCAGCAGCAAATAAAGAACTACGTTGATCACTAGCCGCGAGCGCCAAACAGCGATGAAATGTTTCTACTCTTTTCAGGGTTGTCAACTCCACACTTGTCCTACAGCGTTAAATTTGGCATCACTGAGATCGCAATAAAATTCCCTACGCGGACATATGTATATAAATGTAGAATTATGATCGCAGCCCACCCACAAGAGTGTGGGAAGTGGCCGATGTGTTACCCATTACCGCACACCCGACGGCACATCGGCGAGACCCCTATTGAGAAGTGTATACTCTTTTCACTGTTCTGACCTTAATTTTCGATGTATTTCATTTTTGTAGCAATGTGTTCACAATAGAATGTTCTAAAAGAACATAAGTATAAAATGTCACACAAGGATGCATTAGACCAGCACCAAATAAAGAACTACATCGATCACTAGCCGCGAGCGCCAAACAGCGACGAAATGTTTCTACTCTTTTCAGGGTTGTCAACTCCACACTTGTCCTACAGCATTAAATTTGGTATCACTGAGACCGCAATAAAATTCCCTACGAGGACATATGCATATAAATGTAGAATCATGATCGCGGCCCACCCGCAAGAGTATGGGAAGTGGCCGAAGTGTTACCTGTTACCGCACACCCGATGGCACATCGGCGAGACCTATTGAAAAGTGTACACTCTTGTCCTGTTCTGACCTTAATTTTTGATGTACGTATTTCATTTTTGTAGCAATGTGTTCACAATAGAATATTCTAGAAGAACATAATTATAAAATGTCACACAAGGATGCGTTACACCGGCACCAAATAAAAAACTACGTCGATCACTAGCCGTGAGCGCTAAACAGCAATTTTTGGGGGATAGTACACCTTGAAAGAGAATGGGCCACGCCATGTCATCACCTATTTGGGAGAACGGAAATTTCATGGCGCACATTTTTAAACTATCCCCAAGTCGATCAGATAAAAAATGGATTTTATTGAAATAATTTTTCTCCTGCCACTTGAGCGCGACATTTACGCGGATTCAAGAGAAAAATGGCTGTCGCTCTCAAGCGACATCGGTCCGCGAAAGTGCTAATTAATAAAAACTCAAAAAGTTTTCTGAACCTTTTCTTGGCATCACAGGTGGCTGCCAATGAGGTCTCATGTTATCAGTTGGCCTGACTTGCCACCTATATTAACCACCATTAGGAAGCTATCAGCTGGCCTGACTTGCCACTTATATTAACCACCATTAGGCAGCTATCAGTTGACCTGACTTGCCACCTATATTAACCACAACTTGGCACCTGCACGACCCATGTGCAAGCATTAAATTAGGGTCAGATGATACACCAAGGTATCTGTAAAACTCACAGTTTTCAAGTGCTTGCCCATCTACATGATAATTTGGTGCTGGAATACCACACAGAATGAGGGCATGAGTTTTCTGTACAGAGATAAGGAGATCACATTCCTCAGCTCTAGTAGCAAAAGCATCGAGCAGAACTTGCATTCTAGGCTCGGAGGTAGCCTGTAAACATATATCATCAGCATAACAAATGATCGTATCTTCATTATTAGTTGGAAGATCTTTAATAAGTTTATGCATCAGAACGTTGAACAACAAGGGGCTGAGGACCCCTCCTCGTGGAGTTCCCAGTTCAAAGTGTTTGCTCTCTGTACTTTTAACAACATTAAATAAAACATATACTGTTCGATTAGACAAATAGCCCTTTATCAATTTCAGTAATTTTCCTTGTATTCCTAGCTTAGCAAGCTGTTTTAGTATGATTTCCCTGTTTGCTGTATCAAAAGCTGCTGCTAGGTCAATGAAGACTGCTTGAGGGGAAGCTTCAATATGTGCGAAGTATTCAGCAAAACAGTGTTGTGTACTGAGCCCAGACATAAATCCAAACAGTTGGGGTGACAGGTGTCCCTGTATACAATACATGAGTCGGTTAAGATTGTGTGTATACCTGCTTGATATTTGCTTGATGGGGTTCTGGGAGTTGTTCTACTCCCCAAGCCCAGCCCAAGGTCAGGCTTGACTTGGCGAGAGCTTGGTGTTCCCTGAATGTGCTTATTGCACCCCTACTCTTCACTGATTCTATTCTGCATTTTCTTCCATATCATTCACTCCAGTATGTTGTTATTTTACTGCATAGATTTGGAACCTGGCCCTCCAGTACAAGGAGTGTCTTTGATACTTTCTGGCCTGTTCTTTGTGTAGTTGTAGTAAGTACAGCAGTGACCTCAGCGAGTCATGCCAATTCCTTCGCAGAGCTTTGCAGTTTAGCCAAGGGCTTTGTAAGTTTTTATTGCTGTGCACCCGGTCTATTTGGCTGATACCTCACCCGTGTAGGGGGCATGGGGAATACTGTAGCTGCACGTACCAACCTAGGAGACCTGGTCGACGACCGGGCCGCGAGGACGCTAAGCCCCGAAAACACCTCAAGGTAGGTAAGGTAATGTAATACAGTGGCAAAGTGGTTGTGGCAGTTTTTTTTTTATTTTTTATTCATCACAAGCATCTTTTGCCTTTCTTTATCAGGCGTTCAGATAAAGTTAGGTTAGTGATCGCAAGGGACTTGTACCATGGCATCAAGACCTCTTCCTTGTACATCAGTCAGGGGTAGAGGACCTTGTGACCTGTACTAGGTTTGGTAATGGTTGTCCTAGAAGCAACCCATCTTCCAAAAATGATAATTCTTTTAGTAACTATTTGTCAAACGAACAAAAATGGACTACTGATCCATTTAAAAAGACACATCTTGGTATTACTGTATTAGAATACTCAAAATGGCATGTCAAAAAGAGGAACAGCAACTGTATAACCTAACCTATCCTAGGCTTACATAGGCAATGCTAGACCAAATATTTGTCATCTTAGGTCTAATTTAGTACAGATATGTGCTTCAATATGCCAAGTTAAGCTTAAGTTTGGTTGTTGCCTTCTTTCTCATACTCTTTACAAAATGAATAGTGCAAAACATGAATGTTGGGAATGCAACAGTTCATTTTTGAAGGTTAAACCAATAGTTGGTATTAGTACTGTACTATCATTTTTGGATGAGAGCTTATGTGGAGGATAATCACAGACTTATTCCAGTGTCACCTGACTTACTTGGGCATGTACTTGCTGGTAGCTCTCCAGGTGAACCCCTTCACAGCACTTGGATGTGGCAGGTAAATATAGCTGTAACTGACTGTTGATCGGGCCATCTCGTTGGATAAATTTATTCCATCTTGGGGTCGTGCAGGAGCTAACACTAGAAATACAAAAAACCTAGGTATAAGTATCCCTAAAAAAATAGCTATTTAGTGTCCAGTACAGTACTGTTTAAACTCGGCAATCTGAATCACATGGGTGCTCGCCCCAATTTCAGTTAGCTGAACATTCGATTTAGGTAAATGTTTTACTAGGATTGTCCAAAAAAATCAGCATTGAATGTAATGAAACACCATTCTCTGGGTGAGTTTTTGAAACTTACCCAGCCATCACTTACTCACGCATCACTCACTTGGTGAGGTGAGTAATGAAATGCCATTTTTAGGGCGCCTGACAGCTGAGTACACAGCACTTCGGATTTGTAATCCTGAGGTGCCGGGTTGAATTCCCGGTGGAGGCGGGGACAAATGACAAAAAGTTTCTTTCACCCTGATGCCCCTGTTACCTAGCAGTAAATAGGTACCTGGGAGTTAGACAGCTGCTACGGGCTGCTTCCCGGGGGATGTGTAACAAAAAGGAGGCCTGGTTGAGGACCGGGCCGCGGGGACACTAAGCCCCGAAATCATCTTGAGATAACCTGAAGAAAAGAAGAGTCCCAGACGCTCCCCAGAGCTATCCAGGCTGAATGGATATGTATAACTTTCTGGCATCAATGTGCTTAGAGCTCTTGCCTTCATAGTCCTGAGGGTCCAGGTTCGATCCTCAGTGGAGACAAATGGGCAAAACGTTTCTTTCACCCAGATGCTCCCTGTTACCTAGTGGTAAATAGGTACCTGGGAGTTAGACAGCTGCTAAGGGCTGCTTCCTGGGTGTGTGTAACAAAAACGAGGCCTGGTCAAGGACCGGGCCGCGGGGACGCTAAGCCCCAAAATCATCTCAAGATAACCTCAAGATACCCCCACACACATATAAAATCAAGTAAAAGTTATAATGTTTGGGTCTGCCCTGGACCCCTTATCAAGATGTAGGGGGTGGCTTATTTATTTGTTCTCAGCAGCGCTACTATAACTTTCTCTGTATATTTACGTAACTTGATCTGACACTCTTTTTCCTTTCTCAAGTACATATTGTCCATTTATCAAATGACAACACATGAATTCTTTCGTAAGAATTTACTCATTATTCACCTCTACATCATGAACTGCAAAACATTAACAATGCTCATAACAAATGACAAACTCCCAAGCTTCTAGGATATCAAATAAACAATACTTGTTTGCACCGAGAAACATGGACATATTCATATGATTTTTATTGTCCACGTTCTTGACTACGATCTAAGATCCTGGGTTTAATCCCTGGGTGGGATATAAATGATTGATCAAATTCCCTTTCACCTGATGCCATTGTTCACCTAGTAGCTGTAGTGACTACGGTACCCCCCTTTTACAACACAGCGAAGTTCAGGGAAAACAGCAGAGGAGCAGAAGAGAGTCAACCGGCCAGTGAGAGAACAACAAGCAGACAAACATGAGACCAGACACTTCGGAGGGCAATGTTGCAGATTTGCCCTATGCTGCCTCGTCACCTATCTACACACCCTACTTTCATACCCCAGGACGTTCTCACGGCTAGCCATGTGTTTCTGAGAGTTGATGCGGTGCATCAGCCGCTACAGCAGTCATACAGGGGACCTTTCCGGGTGCTATCAACAACTCCGAAAACCATTACTATCAACCAACGGGGTGTTGAAGTAGTGGTCTCAATCGATCAGATGAAAGCAGTACATTTTGATGCCGTGCCAGGAGTGGCGGCCCCAGCTGCTGCAGTGGAGGTGGTCTGGTACCCACACCAACAAACTTAATCCCCACCATCAGCAGATCCTCTTCCTGAAGATGTACTGTATGAAACCAATGATTCGTATGAAACCTCCTTCAGTCTGTGCATTTGGTGAAGCACTGTTGTGTTTAAGCAAATTAAATTATATTAAATTTGTTTTGATTGTAGAATACTTACTATGCTTGTTGTCGTACCAGATTTTGACCAAACGGTCACTAGCTGCAGCTGTGGCAAAGAGCGTGCCATCTGGCGAGAAAGACAAGAAGACAGTCGGAGCAGCAGTGACACACCGCCACACACACACCCATGTTGGTTCTTCCTCTTCCACGCCATCACATTCCAAATCAAATGTCACAGGGCAAGAACCTATCAAAGAAATTACAGGAAAATATAATTTGTATTAATTACATATACCGTAGCACTACTGTACGTACTTAAACCTAATTGCTCATACCAATAATCGGAACTTGATTATAGCATCTACGAAAGGTCTAAAAATGTTACCCCCATTTCTACTATATGCAAAATATGTAATATTAGCTGCTGTCTTCCTGCTAACACCCTTCACTCAAGGACACTGTCTAATAAAGAACATGTCAAATATTTCAACGATTGTCACATAAGCAAAGCATTGGCATGGATGAACAGTAAAAACTTTTTTGCCTTTTAGTGTCAGAAAATTGCTATAATCTTGGTAATAAATAAACAGTCATATGCTCCTATGATGTAAGTCTACTACGGGCTCGCCTTAACCCGCGCTACTTGGAACATTTTGTTCCAAGTAGCGAATCTTTAAACAACTACATCTTATGATGTAATGATGGTAGAGCAAAAAGCAATTCTAAATAACTTTACAAAGCAAAGTAAACATGAGTGGTGACTCCAAGGATGAAGACATTAATGGGGGTAAAGTACAGTACTGTATTATCCAGTCATGGAAGGGGTCTTTCTCTAGTGTTTCTGGAGTACAAGTATCTCAGAAAAACACTAAAACAACAAATTTATTAGTACTGCTTCTTCCACTGAAGCAGGAATTTTGTTTAATATCTAGATACCTAAACCACTGCATTGGACACTAACTGGAATGCAATCCTTCACCTGCATCTAATTTTTCCCCTTTGAACAGGACTCTACAGTACAGAATTAGCAAACTAGAGTACAGTACTGTACTTCTAATGGCAGCTCTATGTTATCAACGTCAGTAAACATTATAGCATACTGTATAAATACAGAACATGCCAATACATCATCTATGTTAACTATCCATTATAGAAGACTGCAAGAATGATTTATATTTGTTGAGCATAATGAAAGAAACAAACAAAATTAGGAGGCAATGAAAATTGGTTTACCATCTTCTGCAGGTGCAAGTCTTCCAAGGGGAGCGGCCCACATTTGTAGAACATCTCCAGCTGTCAAGAGTCGTGTTCCTTCCACATTCCATGACAAGGTGTTTATGTAATTCTCTGCTTCAATCACTCCAGTCTGAATCCAGCGATAGTCGAGTCTCTATAAAGAATAACTCATCTTCATGCTCCCAAAAATCAAGTGTCAGGTGTAATGAAGAGCATTTTTCTGGTAGCAGCAAAATATGGTGCCATTTCTGGTGCTATACCATATGGTGCTATATGGTCTCTGAACTACTGTCACAGTAGCAACAGCGAGCTTACGTGTTGGTACCACTAAACTTTAAGAGCATAACAGAACTGTGCATCATGGTGAGAGTACTTGAGCAACATTTTTTTATATAATGGTTGGTATTTCACTAGTATTATTGACTATGATTTTGAGTAGAGATGTTTAATGAGGTTAGTCCCATATAACACTGAATGACTGTTGATAATGTTGAACACATGTTAATCGAGCATGTTTTGCTCGCTGGGTTCCCTAAAGTAGAATCACTGTGTAGTCTGAAAGTAAATTTCCTAGTACTGTATCTAAAAATGTTTTATTTATGTTTGCACTGAAAAAGTTAGGATAGTGACCACTCAGCAGAGATTATGTCAGAGGTGAGAGGGGCTGTTATGTTAGTCCATACCTGTATATGGTCCAGCATTAAAGCAGATTTGGTGATTGTGGGTATTAGAATACAGCAGAAGTAAACAAAGGGCTTTACAAGGTGATAAAGAAGATTAATAGGATGCAAAACATGAATGCTAACTTACATGGCCATTCATCTGATTGGCAAGAGGGGTGGGTTCAAACACACATACTAGCTTTCCATACGCTGCTGCTATTTTGCCCGTGTCAGTGGAGCAGTCCACACATGATATCTGTACATTGTCATGACACACTCCTGGTATCACCTGAACGCGTTCATATGTGCTGGCAAGAATGACTATGTTACACCCAGCAGCATAGGCCTGAAAATTGCAATAATGGTATTAAAACAATATGAACTTGAACAAACTATTCTATTTAAATAATGTGGGCATATCATTGAGCTGTGATATTTGAAACGCATTTTTTTGTGGTAATCTACAGACGAGCTTTTCCACAAGAAGTAAATTTAATCATACAGACTTCTAGACCCCTATGCACAATTTTAGACCAGAGGTCAAATCAAACAACATAGTATTTTGTTAGGGATACTATAGGAAAATAACACTCCTAATATAATTTTAAGTGAGAAAATTTTAGCAAATAGTTATACTTTAGATTCGCAGCAAGTGTTTACAAGTTTTGTATTTGATAGTTAGTTAATACAAATAAACATCTAAAACTTGTAAACAAAATTACAAAACACACAAATAATTGTAATGAAATGTATATATATATATAAAAAAAAAAGATTATGAGGGCTATTGTTAAGTACATCCTTACCGTAAATGGCACACCCTCCACACTTCCAACAGCAAAGCAACGGTCGCCAGCATTGCAAGCTCCCGTCAGAATCTGATGGCACTTCATTTTGCTACAGCTGGCTTCACAAAATACAAAATATCTGAAAAGAAACATGACATTAAATGTGAAAAAGTTTAAAACAATAACAGTGTGTATGTGATTGTGTTAAATAGACGCTACAGTACTGGTAATCAGCAACGTATGTAATATGACATCATGACACTCCTATTACAACTCTGGTTTTTAGTAGGGCTATTTTGCACGTCCTGCTATGCCTTCTGGTCTCATAGGGTGTTAAATCTGTGTGCAAATATTTTACAAGTGTAAATTATTAAACAGGTCTATCGACTTGAGAATGGTCCAGGACGGACTGGTTAACAATAGAAATAACAATGTTATATTTTGTCCAAGCAATATAATATTGCAACCCATCCTCCTATTTGGATAGTACTGTACTTACAGTAATGATGTGAACCATCATACATACAGTACTGACATAATGGATAATTAGAAAGTAGAATTTGGTACTGAACTATTGAATTTGGACAAACCAGAGGAGGTTTTGTTTTTATGTTGTAAATAAAACCTAGCCTAACCATCCTAGGCCCAATTCATGATATCCGAGGCCTAATATAATACATTTATGTGCTATACTAGGCCTAGGAATATTTAAGTTTGTTTTTAAGCTTTATTTTTTCTCCAGAGACTATAAAGTGAATACAGCAGTAACAAATTATACTATCTAATTGTCCATTATGTCAATATATGTACAATGATCTAAATAGTTACCAAAAGTACTATCTAAACAGGAGGACGGGTTGAATATTGTGCACATATTAGTGACATGAATGTACAGTATCTGTGTATACTGAACAGAGACAGATTAACACAGAACATGTGTTATTACAGAAATTTCTCAAATTACACATGATTGCATAATATAACTATGAAATGCTGACACACTTAGAATACAGTATGTTATATTATCAAGGGATTTACCTGTTAACTTTTGAGAGGCCACAAGTAACTGGAGTCACATCTAATGTCACAAGCGAATTTCATCGTCTGTCGACTTCGTCTTAAAGTACAGTACACTGGTTTAAAAAGTCCACGTCTGCCTGCAGTCCAGATACTGTATGAATTATGGAACCTGCAAAATAATTGTAATTTTAATTTAAAACATTCCTATTGTCAGGGACACAAAACCTCTAAATAGGCTTGTTGAGAATCCCCTAATGCCACTACAGTACCCGCCAAACACTCACCGAAACTACGACGTTGGTACAACTTTTGAACAAGTTTTAACACCTCCTAACCAGTTATAACAACCATTATAGCAAGTTGTAACAACGTTCTAATACGTCATAAACACGTTAAGCCAAGATGTAACAACTTTATTACAAGTTGTAACAAGCGGAAAATAGAGACAGTTACAGTTTGTGTTTCCAGGGTACTGATCTTCCCCAAGATGCAAACCACAACAGTTTCCCCAACTGCTGGGTGCCTATTGTACTACCAAAGACTTCAGGTGAAAGGAAAAGTGCCGAACCAGTTCCGTCTTGCCCTGGAGTTGAACCCAGGTTTCTCGGTTGCGAGCCAAGGATGCAGGACATTGTGCTACAGGATACCTGAATAAGCCAAGATATGGGTAGGGAGACGTATTCAATTACATCTTGCCCCGAAACACTGTGCATATTAGTGGCTTTAGGCATAATATATACACAGTACTAGCCCTATCTAGAAATCCAACATTCTGCTTGTAACTCAATATGTATGTACTGTATGTACTTTGCCTAAATAATTAATTTATTTATTTATTTATTTATTTATTATTGTTATTAAGGAACAATTATCAATGAGATTTGGCTGGTTAAAAAATTTAAACCTTGTAAAGTTAAACTCACCGTTGACTGTACTTTGTTGTACGTAAGATGAGTTTAAGTCAAGTTAATGTTTATATGATGTGTACATAATTGTATATTAGGAAAATGGGAAGCCAAGTTGATAAGGGTAAGACTAGTTTCAGCTGCTTTATTTAGCAAGCAAAGCAGTTTCTAAAATCAAGTAATGGAGTGGAATAAACTTCACAAGCTGTTGCATAGAGCTTCACACAATACAATACTCTAATCATATATATATAGTTTACATACTGTATATCTTGTATGGAGTCCATGTAACACAGATGAACGAAGCATATGGCTACAGGATTATCACCCAAGAACCCATATAATCAACCTAATCTTAAACATGATGCCTAACCATGAATACCTGCAGCATCAACATCATAACACACTTGCCAGGAGTAACAACTCCGCTATTTTGACCAGCCTCGTCCCAGCACCTCAACGTTGGACTTTTCCTCACTCCTCCGACCAGCCCAGACCCAGCCACCTCGGCAAAGGGGACTGCCTGACTAATCCAACCAGCCCCGACCCAGCTACCTCAGTGTAGGACTCTGCCTGACTAATCCAACCAGCCCCGACCCAGCTACCTCAGTGTAGGACTCTGCCTGACTAATCCGACCAGCCACCTCAGCGAAATATGCTGCCTGACTAATCAGACCAGCCCTGACCCAGCCACCTCGACGAAGGACACTGCCTGACTTATCTGACCAGCCCCGATCCAGCCACCTCGGCAAAGGACTCTGCCTAATCCGACCAGCCCCGACCTAGCCGCCTTGGCCAGCGACTCTGTCAACTAATAATCCGACTAGCCCCAACCCAGCCACCTCGACGAAGGACACTGCCTGACTAATCCGACCAGCCCCGACCCCGCCACTTCGGTGAAAGATTCTGCCTGACTAATCCAACCAACCCCGACCCAGCTGCCACAATAATGGACTGTGCCTCCAGTTTGAACACACGACTGTCCCAATTACATCTCACCATACATCAACTACTGTAACTTGTATAAATATTCTTTTGACTGTCGTTGTGTTTTTATTCCCCCTTCTGTCAGCGCAATGCAAAATCTAGACTTTATGTTACAGAAGGCCTAGTCACAAGCTTTCAAATAGGTCTATTTATTTGGGGTTAAAAATGGGGCAGGTACGGAGCTCTGGGATGGAGAAGCAGTCATTTAGTATTCTCTCCTTTCTCTTGCCTTTCCACTTCCCCCACTGTCATTATTTACTGCCAGTTAAATTACCCTTAATAACCACACTATCTCCTGTTAAAACTGGATACGTGAACAACAGAGGTGACACCCCCCCATAGCAAGCCTTCCACTCTCTTACATCCAGCACATATTAACACCTATGTTATGGTGAGAGCTTGCACATGTTTACAGCAGATATTGGGTGCAAGAGGAGGAGGAGGCAAGAGGGCGCCGTGGAGAAGCTGACCTGTGTCTAGGGTCACTTCAGTCGCACCGACGAACCACTGGTCGATGTTTTCCTGTCACACACTTATTCCAACTCCTTGTCCATGGCTTCACTGCTAATATATTTTCACGAACTGCATTTCAGTGATATGTTATGCATGTAATGCATATATATTTATATATATATATATCGTAGTAATTAAGATTTTATTATTTATGCGGGAATAGTTTTCAAGGTATAGTAACGTGTGGGTAAAATCTAAGCGGAAGATAAAGTCGTGACATACGGACGCAAGTGCCAGTCACAAGCTCCAAGAGTCATCTGACGGCCTCACATCAGACTATGGTCGTTGTCATAGTAACACCACATTATTCACCCTTTAAACCTCCATGGTACACTATAATATCAGCAATTTATTAAGTACATGTACCTATTAGACTATATTAAACTTAGATCACTAGTGAAGTAAAATCTAAAGTCCAAATGTGGTTAGCTAAACATTCAGATTCTAAAAATTCAATGATCGCGGTTTAAACCTCTCCTTTTATGTAATGCTGCTACCGAAGACTTTACGGAGATTACAGTGTCATACTGCATGAGGGATTCTTGTATGCTGTCCGTACATATATATAGTAAATATAATACCAATAAACAACCTCATTAAACTTTGCCAAAGAAGAAGATAGAAATAATCAGTAAATCATTGAGGCAATGATGATGACCAAACCACACATCAGAAGATGAAGAGACGACGACATTTTGATCTGTCCCTCTGGACCTATTATTTATTTATATACAAGAAGGTATATTGGGGGTTAACAGAGAACATAGAGTTTAAGTCGAAATTACATTCTTGTAAAGCCACTAGCACTCACAGCGTTTCGGTCAAGTCCTTAAACTAACAGATAATTTTTAGATAATTAATAGTAAAATTGACAAAAAATGTTTACAGGTACTTTATAGCTTTACTTTACAGGTACAGATGATTTTAAATAGAATAATAACAGCAAAATTGAAAAAAAATGTTTACATGTACATTGCAAGAAATTTTGACACAAAAGCAGATTAGAATAATACACAATAATGAACAAGGATTACTAGGTATATTAGGAAAACATCTCAGGGTTATACTTTGGCTCACTGAAGCACAATATGAGGATCATTCCAAGGAGTAATGCAGCAGAATATGTACTCAATACAACAACATGTTATCATATGATCTAAGATTACAATGACCGAAACGCTTTGCGTAATAGTGGCTTTAGGCATTGTATGTACTAGCTCTACCTATAAGTCAACCAATCCTTGTATAAATTTATTGTATGTATGTACCTTACCTAAATAAAATTGTATTGTATTGTTGTACAATGGTAAAGTAATATGACTTAGGTACAAATATTGGAGGAATGGGTAGCACTAGAAACAGTGCGAAGATAAAGCTCTAGGTAGAAGACTACGAAGATGAAATTAGGTACTTTTTGGGTTTATTTTTGAATAAGGCAAAAGTTGGACAGTTTTTCAGTTCATTAGGGAGTGAGTTCCATAGACCAGGTCCCTTTATTTGCATAGAGTGTTTACACAGATTCAGTTTGACTCTGGGGATATCAAAGAGATATTTATGTCTAGTGTGGTGATTATGTGTTCTATTACATCTGTCCAGGAAGAGTTTCAGTACAGAGTTTGCACTTAAGAAAAGAGTTTTATAAATGTAATTTACACAAGAGAATGTATGGAGTGAATTTATGTTTAGCATGTTTAGGGATTTAAACAGGGGAGCTGTGTGTTGTCTGAAAGCAGAGTTTGTTATTGTCCCCATAGCAGATTTCTGCTGGGTAGTGATTGGCTTGAGGTAGTTTGCAGAGGTTGAACCCCATGTACAGATACCATAAGTAAGATAGGGATAGAAAAGTGCATAGTAGAGAGAGAGGAGAGCAGAGTAGGGAACATAATATCTGATCTTAGAGAGTATACCAACTGTTTTAGAAATCTTTTTAGTTATGTGTTGAATGTGGGTGCTGAAGTTGAGTCTCTTGTCCAGGTATAGGCCAAGGAACTTTCCATCATTTTTATTGCTGATGTTTACATTATCTATCTGAAGCTGAATTGCATTTGTTGATTTGCTCCCAAATAAGATGTAGTAGGTCTTTTCTAAGTTTAGTGTGAGTTTGTTGGTTGACATCCATAAATTTACTTTTTTTTTAATTCATTGTTTTCAACATTATTTAATATGAGTGGGTTGGGGTCAGAATAGATGAGAGTAGTATCGGCAGATCATTGATGTATTTAAGAGATAGGAGAGGTTCTAAGATGCTACCCTGTGGTACCCCTACGGTTAATGGTAGAGTGGGAGAGGTTATATCATTGATGGCTACATACTGGTGTCTGTCACTAAGATAGGATCGGATATAGTCCAGGGCAAGGCCTCGGATTCCATAATGGTGGAGTTTAAGTAAGAGATAGTTATGGTTAACAGTATCAAAGGCCTTTCTCAGGTCAATGAAGGGTTCAACCGGAAACTCATTTTCGTCAACAGCTGATTATATGATATCAAGCAGACTAACAATTATATCGTTGGTACTCTTTTGGGAGCGGAAGCCAAACTGACAGGGACTTAGTATGTTGAATTTCACGAGGCAGGAGTAGAGATGTTTGTAAATAATTTTTACAAATATTTTTGATAATATAGGTAGATTTGATATTGGTCTGTAATTGTTTATGTCTGCCGTATCGCCTCCTTTATGAACTGGCGTTACCAGTGATTTTTTTAAGGATATCAGAGAAGGTATAACACTCTAGAGATGTTACTACTGCTCACCTTAGACTCTGTTACAAGTATCTCTGGGAATTCTCATTACCTACCGATGTAGACCTGACCAAATGTAAACTGTGTCAACAAAATTATTCGCACACCCTCCGTCACTATGTGATGGAGTGCGAAAGGATACGTGAATTCAGAGACAATTCTATAACAAATGTTCCAGAAATGTGTAAATATTTCATTAAAAATGATCTGCTACCAGAAATTTTAGCCAAATATCCCCAGTTTGCTAACTGTAGGTAGTAACTAAGTGATTGTAACCTATCCACCGCTGCCCACTGGATGGGGGGCGGTGTGCAGGACAAACATAAATTGTGACACTAGCTCTCCACATATGTCAGTTGCTTAATTTAGAAACTACTTTGGTCGATCTCGAACCCATTGACGATGTGACGATGTGAATTTAAATTTTGTAACTAGCTCATCAAGATTGTAACTTACTTACCTAAATGAATTGTGGGGTTCAATCCCTGAGCCCATTATGTGCCTCTGTAACCCTTTCCACTACCGCCCACAAGATGGGTATAGGTTGCATAATAAATGAACTAAACTTAAATTAAGCTGTTGAACAGCAGAGCTATGGGTGGCGCAAGGGCATGGGAGGCAATTTCACTAATGTTCCCAGCTTTGGTTTTTAGTGAGTGAATTATGAACACAACATCTGTAGGGCTGACTGGTGAGAGGAGAAGAGAGTGTTGATAGCTGCCTGAAAGATATGTGGTAACATGTGCCTGGGTCTGTGGGAGTTTTATGTCAAGGTTAGCACCAACCGATGAAAAGATGCTATTAAATTCAGTTGGCGTTTCTAAATCTGTTGCAGGTGTATAACCATCCTTTGACAGTTTTATCTGGTTATTGGGGTAGTTTGCAGTGGTTGAACCCCCATGCACAGATACCGTGTGTAAGACAGGGGTAGATTAGTGCGTAATGTAGTGAGAGGAGAGCAGAGTTTGGAACATAATATCTGGTTTTAGAGAGTATACCAACTGTTTTAGAGACTTTCTTGGCTATGTGTTGTATGTGGGGGCTGAAGTTGAGTCTCTTGTCTAAGTATAGGCCAAGGAACTTTCCATCATTTTTATTGCTGATGTTAACATTGTCTATCTGAAGCTGAATTGCATTTGTTGATTTGCTTTCAAATAGGATGTTGTAGATCTTTTCTGTTTAGTGTAAGTTTGTTGGTTGACATCCATAAATGGCTTTTTTTTTAGTTCATTGTTTACAACATTATTTAGTGTGTGTGGGTTGGGGGTCTGAGTAGATGAGGGTAGTGTTGTCAGTAAATAATATAGGTTTTAGAATTTTAGAGACTAGACCACGTCTAGCCGTAGTCTAGACGATTAGACCACGTATAGATAACTAGACTAAGTCTAGCCATAGTCTGAATGACTAGACCAAGTCTTGCTGTAGTCTAGACTAGACGACTACCGTCCAATCAGCTTCACATGTCACATCTTCAAGCTCACGGAGAGAATCCTGAAGGAGGGAATAAGTCACCATCTTTCATTGAAGAATCTTGTGAAATCAACGCAACATGGTTTTGTTTAAAAATAGATCCTGCCTTACTAACCTCCTTTATGTTTGGAAACAGTAACCAGCTACTCAGGCAATGAACTTCTAGTAGATGTAGGTTACATGGACCTCGTTAAAAAGAATTATAAGATACCACATGAAAGACTAATAAGGAAATTACAGGCACGTGGAATAAATGGTATAATACTAGAATGGATAAAGCAATGATAAAGCAATAATAATAATAAATTTGGAAGACGGTACAATGGGTTGGTGAGATTACATCAGATTGGTATTTTTACATTCATGCAAAGTCACTAACACGCATAGCGTTTTGGGCAGACCGATGGTTAAATCCAAGTTAACAATGGATAAATGACACAATTGTTAAATCAAAGAAAACGACGGGTGGTGCTAAATCAGAATGAATCTGACTGGAGAAATGTGGTAAGTGGGGTACCACAAGGGTCCATTTTGGAGCCAACTCTTTTTGTCATGTAGTTCAACGACACAGATGAGAATATTACCAGCCACATCATCAAACTTGCCGATGACACTAAGATTTATGGTAAAGTAGAATGTTAACTTATACTGAGGCCTAATGATACGGATGCCCTATATAAACTCCTCACCTTGTCCATAATATTTGAGACACTCACATTCAGTATCTCTGAGAATGTTCATTACCTGCTGATGTAAACCTGACCAAGTGTAAACTGTCTCAGCTAATTGTCCCACACCTTCAGTCATTGTGATGGAGTGGTAAATTATATGTGAATTTAAAGACAACTCTATAACAAGTGCTCAAGAAATGTGCAAACATTTCA